CTGGTACTCCCCAAGGTCAGCTGCTTCCATCTCAACCTCATCAAGTGAATAAAGGCTCAAAGTCGAGGACAAATACGAACTTCGGAAGTGTGAAAATGCTCAACTCTGTCGTTTATTTTCGCGTCAGGTAGCGATGGGATACGCACTTTTTCATGTACATTTGTCCACCTAGTTCATCAAGATCAAATACCAATTCCGAGGAAGTAGGTGTTGATCAAGCTAGTGTGGATGGACTCGAGACAATTTCAATGCGATGGTTAACCCCTTTAGAAGGCATCAAGCTGGCTCTGTCCTCTTCAAACATCAATTCGGATGATCCATCATTAAGACTTGCACCTCCGCAATTTTATCTTCTTGCAGAATTATGCTCGAAACTAGATTACAATTCGATCATGCAACATGGCGCTCTTCCTACAGGGGCGAACGTCAATTTCCATACCAATGAAATGGCTGGGAGCACACGACGAATCATTGAATTCATTCCGGAGATGATTAAGCCTCAATCACCACAGTCTAATGAAAACAGAAACAATATCAAACCGGGTTCCTTTCGATTAGTCTTACCTGGTGATCCTCAACATTCAAGCACAAATACAATCATCAAGAATTTACCAAACTTGATAAGTCAGACAAATAGATTTAAACACAGAATCTATATTCGACCTCCTGATTCTCAGTCACAACCACAATCAAAGTCTAATTTTTTCATTCCAATAGGTATTGAAAGGATTGGGATGGAGAACATCTTGGGGAAAGGGTGGGAAGATTATGTGATTGGTGAAGTAGAGTAAACGTTCGAAGAGGCCTTGAGATCTAACCATGAACTACGTGCTATCAGTTTCACAAGAAGAGGGGGACCTTGTTGTTTAATTACATTTTTCTTTGATTGTTCAACATTTTATACTACTTTGAACTGTCTGAGTCGTAGCTTAGACCTGGTGTCATCATTGCAATATATTTCTTCCTTGGCCCCCAAAACGATGAGCATAGATTCTTTATTTTTGAATCTATGTATATATATGTCCTTTCTGGTCATTCACCATCCGCGTGCTACCATTGTGGCATCATTCAATGCTCTACTTGACCAAGTCTTATCTCTTATATTTGAATTTGTTGTGAATAAAGATCCTGAAGATCCACCATTACCCAACAAGGTCAACTATAAAGCTTCATTCATAAAAGCCTCGAATCCTCAACCTTGATGATTTTGTGGTTGGAATCCCCATACTTCTCAGGGTTTAAGCCATAATTCAACCTAAATATTCAGTCTATAATTCTCAAGGCAATGATATTTGTGATATCACCTTATGTGTGATGACATCAAAACACATCATGAGTACAAACATTCATCTCTTTTCTTCCATTATCTTTGTTCAATTGAGGATAATTAACTTTATGTAAGTGATTTTCCTTTGGGAGAATATGCTACCTCATGGCTATTTGGATTTGATGAAGATGGCTTCACGGGTGATGGAGGATTTGATATGGGCGCGTCAACAGCGTGATCAAAAAGCCAGTCTGAATCCGCAGCTACGTAGCCAAAGATGTATGCTTATAAGCTGTGGATTTGACCATTTGGAGAAGCTTAAGACCTGTCATGCACCTAACAGGTTTGTGAGTTTTCAGTTGTGCCTGATGAAACAAATTAAAAAAACTTTCATCTTGAGCATTTGCTTGGTTCTGAGTTGAAACTTCATCATTCATTCCTCAGCACTTCACCTTTAATCATCCTCTTTAGACTTCTTTAGACTTCTAATCTGCTTGATCCTCATCAGATCAGCTTCATCATTTCGAACGTTTCACTACCTCTTGTCATAAATTTCGATGGCTGCCGTTGCCTCCTTACCGCATTCTCATTTTCCTCGTAACCTGTCTCAATCGAGAGCTCTCCACTCATCCAATGTAGATGAAAGAACCGACCTAGGCGAAGGTCCTTCTTTCAATCAACAGTCTCTTAATGCCGTCACACTTCTCTCGAATGGATTTCCGTCTGCTCTACTGCCCTCAGGTGTCATGTCAGAAAGCCAAGGAGACGATCAAGTTGATGTCAATTCCAATCATACTTCAGCTAGAGAGCAACTCCTCCATCCTCGAACTTCATCTCACACCTCCCTGAAACCTCGAGGACAGCTTTGGCGGGATGCGTTAAAGAATCCAATCGAGTTCACTGCTGGTCGAAGACTGACGACTGGACATGAAATTCCTTATGAGCCAATCAACAAACCCATCCTTCCTGGCCAAGGCAGAGGAGTACTGATAACCGCAATTGGTCCCCCGACCGAGGACGATGAGGACGATGATGGTTCCGACCCGCCGACGATAGCCAAATCCATCCCTTTGCCTTCGAGCCAACCCTTGGCAGCCAGTACTTCTTCTAACCCCTCTGCTCCCTCCGCACCACCTAAATCAATCAATAAACAGTCGGGTTCTGTCCCCAAGACGAGTCTGAGTGTGATTAAACCCATTGCCACTACTTGGCCTAAGCTGCAACGTATGGGACCTGGCTTCCGTAACGCCGGCAATACCTGCTTCCTAAATGCCACACTGCAAGCATTGGTTTACACACCTGCCCTGGCTGTTGGTCTTTTAGATAGACAAGAGCATTCTCGTGATTCATGTGAGTATGCCTCCAGAAGTTTCTCATGTACTCAATAGGCTAGAAACGTTTTCACAGACGTTGAAACCTGCTCTTCTTACTCTCAGGTCGATTGTCGCAGATCAAGAAGTTTTGCACTCTTTGTAGCATGCATAACCTTGTCACCATGTGCCTTGAATCGAACAAAACCGAGAGATCCATCAGGCCCACGCCCATTCTTAGCTCTTTGACCAGTGAGCATTTCAAGCAGATCATAGAACAGGCCTTAACAAAGTTTGTTGACCACAAATACTTGATCTTTATGGCACGTGGTAGAAATTGCGCCCAGCATGAGAGGCAACCGTCAAGAGGATGCTCACGAGTTCCTAAGATTGTTAATCGAAGCTATGCAGAATGGAGCGCTCGGTGGGAAAGAAGCGTGAATTATTTATTTCATCCATAACTTCGTCTGCAATACCCCGTTAACTCTCTGTAATATCCAGTCAAGCGAAACAAAAAGATAAAGAAGCAACTTTCATCCACAGAATGTTTGCTGGAAAGTTCCGTTCACGAGTCACTTGTCAACATTGTAAAGGCACCAGCGATACATTTGATACCTTTCTTGATTTAAGGTAAGCTAGATCGATGATGAGTAAAAGACTTGCCTGCTGAATTCATTTCTTCTTTAGTTTGGACATCGGCGAAGCCAACAACGTCCATGATGCATTGAGGAAGCTGCGCAAGCTCGATCATCTGAAAGGAGCAAATCAGTACAAATGCGAAAAGTAGGTCCATTGGCAGTATCACTTCTTGTCATCCAATTCGTCGGCTCGGCCCAAAGACGTCGCTTATATCTTTTATGAATCTTTCGCAGATGTAAACAGCTGCGCAATGCAGAAAAGGAACTTTCGGTTCATGAGGCTCCTCCGATTCTCACGCTGCACATCAAACGGTTCAATCGTAACGGTAAAAAAATTAATAAGCGAATACAATTCAGCGACTCGCTGGACCTGAAAGCCGCCATGGACCAAGATGCTCCTCGCACTCGATACGATTTGTACGCCGTCGTTTGTCATCAGGGTCCTAGTAACACCAGTGGTCATTACTATTCCTACATCAAAACTTCGGATGGACAGTGGCACAGAGCGGACGACTCTTCCATCGACCGCATCGACCGTGGTCATGTCTTCCGCAACAACGAAGCTTATATATTCTTCTATTCTCGTGATCCGGACGATTTCCTGGACGCTGCGATTCACCAGGATCGACGTTCGGCTACCGCGCAATCAGATCCCAGCTTACGAAAACGGAAAAATGGCCAGGCACCCTTTAATTCTTCTCAGGCATCAAACGAAAGCGAGCATCTATCGAGCGAAAATTCCAATCAGTCGTCCAAGAGACCAAAGCTCCATGATCTGGCAAACGTCAATAAGAATACCCAACCTAGAATGATTGGGCCCATGCTCCCCCCCGCGCGGTCGGAGCAACCTACAAATTCTTACAACCAGAGAACGTTTCACAATGCTTCGCCCCAGCAATTGAATACGATGATGGCTGACGTTACCGCCTCCACCATCGAGCCGACTGAGGACCTTGGCGAAATCGTGCCGCGCCCAAGTACAGGATCATCAAGCGGTGCTGTGAAGGCAAACCGCCAGCACCAACGTAACAAACCAAAACATCGGGTGCTGGTCAATGGTAACAACCATCATCGCCAAACCATCCATCATCGGCTCAACTCGGTATCTGACTTGCAACCCAAGATCATACGCGGCTGATCACCAAAAATTGTTGACTTTGCGATTCAATAATGTTACCCTTCATGCTTGACTAATTCAGTTTTTCCTTGGTTTCTCCCAGTGCTAGGTCTTATAACTTCGCCTGTTATCTATGTTTCCCTAAATACAGCTCGTGTGACCAAATTGTAGTGAAACGATCCGCTTCATATTTCTCCGCGTTTTCATTAGCTCATTTTTCATAACGAACAAGACTGCAATCAAATCTTAGCTTCGGTCCCGCGTTCTTTTCGTCCGCAATTTACTAAAAACTCGTTAACCCTATCTTGCTTCGTAAGATTAAAACTGGCCCATACTTTTCATTTTTTTTTCCTTTCGTGATTCGGACACACGACACCATCACTCAAATGAGTTAGGTTGAATATCCCAAAGGCCAACGATGGAGTGCACAACATTGTCGTCCTCTCTTCCAACTATAAAATATCAATCTACAGATACTCTTCATCAAATATGTGAGCTGCTGTCTTGGTCATGCACATCGTGCCACCTCTTCCCTTCATTTTTTAACTTTGATGTTATATAGCAATGAATTAGTGCCCTCTGTTTATAAATCTGTTCAATGTCTTGCGTCATTGGAGAGTGAGATCGCTACTTTTATTGGGAAGGCACAACGGACTTCGCTCACACAATCCGTGTTAGTATATCGGCTAGTATGACCGCCTTTCATCTGGCAAGCGCGCGGTAGAGACGGGTTCGATTCCCGTACGCGGAATTTTTGCCATCTGGAGAAGCACTACCTCATCATAGCTTGCCAGGGTCAGGCTTTCTTTTAAAAGGCTTGTGAATTATCCCCCTGTATCTTCCAATGGTATGTCTTCAAATTAATATTTAAGCAATTGTAAGGATATATACAGTATGGGGTTACGGAGGTTACAACACATAGTTTAGTTTAGTCATCTAGCTCCACGTCAGGTTCTCTTCTTCCCTACGAACCCTGACTGGAGCTAGGTATGTGTCTGCTTTATTTCCTTTTCTCTTGTTTTCTTTCTCTTTGTTGTTTGGTGTCTGATTGTTAGGTTCTCTTCTTCCCTACGAACCCTGACTGGAGCTAGCTATCGAACTGGTAATCAATCCCGAGTTCTAGATAGCTTTCAGTGGTTACGTACCACCGTGAGAACCGTGCCACGTCCCAGTGAAGGTTCTCTCGCTAGAACCTTACACTTTTTTTATCTATTACTCCTAAAAAACCTTCTTCTTGTTTATTCTTCTTGACAATCCCGACACCTTGACAATTGCGCCATCCGACATCACTTTATGCCCTTTAATCTACCTTCAAACTTTTCCATCGACCCCGAGAGCCTTTTACGCCGACAAAGACACCGTGAACTAGTTGAAACTCCGCCCGCTCCACGACCTCCTAGATATAACTGGAAACCTGAAAGCGACGACCTTAATACGCCTGACAAGACCTTGCATACAATCTACCCGTCATCATCGCATTCATTACCAGAATCGGAACCGACAAATACCCCCGACGTTCAAATAGTACGAGAGTTTTTCAACACTAATCTAGACGTCACGCCTGTTGTTCCTGGTCGTTACGCTTTCTCACCAATGCCATTTCAAGAGAGTTCTTCGGATACCGAAACCGTCAAAGGAAAAGACCCCGGAGATCGACAATCAAAAGATGAGATCATCGAGGCTCTCCACGAGCGAATGAAACAACTGGAAATGGAGAATGCATCCTTACATTCTCAGGCGGATGCTACTGCCGCAGATCGTTTACGGATCGAGGCGCTCGAAGCGACCCTTTCGCAAATTGTGGCCAATCAGTCTGTGGCTCCGGGAGACAGCGGGGGTTCTCATAACCCGTATGTCCTGCTCAGAACCCGTCATAACAATGTCACCACTCCCACACCAATGGGTCCTCGAGCTGGTCAGTTTGGGACAACTGAAGAAAATCGACAAGCGGCGACGAAGCCGGTTCCCCCTTCTAGACCTTGTCCGCCGCCAATCACCCATGTTCGGGAGCCAGTGCGAGAAGAGTTCTCACCTCACGCTGCTAATCAATTACACGACAGCGTGAGGAGAGTGTCGGTTCAAGAACCATTTCGAGAATTCAGAGAAGCAATCCCGACGGTGACCTTACAGCATCTAGAGCGTTCCATGAATTCTGTCCGAGATGAAGATGATCGCGAGTTGAAGAAGGTCTCAGCTAGTCAAATCAAGATGTCGGAGGTGCCAAAATTCACTGGACCAACCGAAAACCCGGCCGCGTTGTTCAACTGGCGTCGTCTCATCGAACAATACTTTACCTTGAAGAACATCGATGACGACAATGAACGACGCATAATCTTGGGATCGGTGCTTGTTGAACCGCGAGCGGGTTCGTGGTTCATCAATTCGGCGTCTGACTTAGCGGAATTGACTTGGGACGAAATGATGAAGGAATTGGCAGCGGAGACCTTGCCGACAGGATGGTTAGGAGACACGGAGAGATCAATTCGACAGCTGAAAATGGGAGCAAACGAAGAATTTAAAACGTATGTTGGAAGAGCACGAGACTTGTACAACATTGTGCAAGTGCAGACCAATCTCTCACCTCGTAATCTGGCAGAATACATTGTTTGGGGTACGCCGGATGTTTTCCAGCGTTGGATCAATGACCGCGGTTTACTCCAAGTTGAGAATTTCAAAATGTTACCATTTATTTCGGCTGCAAGCAAGGTGTGGGATGTGATTCAATCCAGCAACTTAGTCCCGAAAGGCAGATTTCGACAACCAACCTTTGACGACAATAACCAACCAGCACTACGTCCCAACTTTACAAACAGCAACGCGACGCCAGACACGCGTACGGCAGAACAACGTGCCGACAGCGCGTGGCGCTATCATCAGTACATGCGTCATCGAGGACTTTGTGGTTACTGTCGGACTCAGTGCGGAAATGCTCAATGTCGAGGCCCAGCCAAAGGGCCTTTTGTAATGGTACCGGAGACCTTCAACCCTGGGCCTCGTCCTGTTCGTCGACAGGACACCGGACTGAACCCGTGGATCAAGCCTACAACAACAGCGACCTCAAAGCTGATCCCGCCCCCTGGTGCACCTACGGCTAAACCGGCAGGAAGACCATCAACTACAGCACCATTGATTGCGAGCATACATCAAAGTAGTAGTCAAGATCATCCAGACTTATTTGCTGAAGACATTGCTCGATATGAAGAGGCCGATCGGGTCTTGGTAGCTCACTTGGCGCAGGAGCAAGAGGAGGAAAGGTGTGTCGACTCCCCCGCCCAAAGGACCAAATCGATAATTTTGAAATTGAAAATTAACGGTCTCATTGTGCGCGCATTGATTGATTCGGCAGCAGAAACCAACCTAATGTCCGACCGGCTGTGCAAGCAAGCCCGGATTCCAAGACGACCGCTCGTATCACCGGTTGAAGCAAGGTTGGCGATTGAGAACGGCAAGGGTAAATCATTCACATTCAAGGAATTCTGTTTCGCGAATGTGGCAGCTCATGACCCGCTACTTCGTTTTGGTTCAACTTTTTTCAAATTAGCACCACTGGGGGACAAATTCGATGTTATTCTTGGTACTCCTTTCCTCGAGAAATTCCATCTTGATGTTTCCTTGCATGATCGAACTGTTACACATGTACCGACGAAAACCGTGTTAAGAGAAGAATATGAAATGAAAGAAATTAAAGATGATGTGGACCACTCAATGATTGCTTGTGTAATTGAGAACATGAAAGAAATCAAGGAATTACGAGAGCTGTCAATCAAAGAAGAGAAAGTTTTTAAAGAATTTGCCGATCTTTTCCCAGATGAGTTGCCTGCGGTAGAAGACGATGAGGATGATGATTTTTTCGCGCCTGAAGGGCAGAATGAAACATCAAAAATCCGACATAAGATAGTGCTTACTGACCCGAATGTGGTCATCAATGAAAAACAATATGCTTATCCAGTCAAGTATCTAGCCGCGTGGCGAAAGCTCATTGACCAACACCTCGCCGCGGGACGGATACGACGCTCAACAAGTCAGTATGCGTCGCCATCAATGATCATACCTAAAAAAGATCCAATGGCTTTACCGCGGTGGGTTTGCGATTACAGAACTTTGAACAAGTTCACGGTCAAAGACAGGTCGCCTTTGCCAAATGTAGATGAGGCAGTGCGTTTAGTTGGGACCGGCAAGGTCTTTTCCATTATCGATCAAACCAACTCGTTTTTTCAGACAAAAATGCGAGAGGAGGATATTCCACTGACGGCAGTGAAGACCCCCTTTGGATTGTACGAGTGGACGGTCATGCCGATGGGACTGACGAATGGGCCAGCCACGCATCAAGGCCGCGTTGAAGAAGCTCTAGGGGACCTTATTGGGTCAATCTGTGTTGTGTACATTGACGACATCGTGGTTTTCTCGAATTCTTTTGAAGAACACGAAGACCATGTGAGGCAAGTATTACAACGGCTGCGAGCAGCAAAACTCTACTGCTCACCATCAAAGAGCAAGTTATTTCGGCGGAAAATCAACTTCCTAGGTCATGAAATCAGCGGAGATGGCATTTGTCCTGATGATGCTAAGGTGGAAAAGATATCAAAGTGGAAAACTCCTTCGTCGCAGAAGCAACTCTTACGCTTTCTTGGAACAGTCCAATTTTTGAAAAAATTTGTTGACGGCCTGTCACATTATGTAGGAACCTTATCACCGCTGACTAGTACAAAAAGAACAAATGAACCTTTCAAATGGGGGACGGCGGAGGATGAAGCTTTCGAGAATATCAAACGCATCATGACGACGCTACCGGTGCTCAAGACCCTGGACTATGATTCTGAAGAACCTGTGTGGTTATTCACAGATGCCAGCGGGCACGGACTGGGGGCGGCGCTGTTCCAAGGCAAAGAATGGGATAAGTCATCTCCAATTGCTTACGAAAGTCGCACAATGACACCTGCTGAGCGTAACTACCCGGTGCATGAGCAAGAACTCTTGGCAGTTGTCAACGCACTCCAAAAGTGGAAGTTGCTACTTCTGGGACTGAAGATCAACGTCATGACGGACCATCATTCCTTAACCCATCTCTTATCTCAAAGAAACCTAAGCAGACGACAAGCGAGATGGCTGGAAACATTATCCCAGTTTGATCTGAATTTTAATTACCTGAAAGGCGAAGATAACAGTGTTGCAGACGCTCTCTCGCGAACTGAAGATGTTGCGTCGTGTGTAGTACAAAGCACTTTGGATGGCGAAATGAAAGCGAAAATCATAAAAGGATATCAACTCGACACCTTTTGCATACGTCTAGCGGCGACGTTGCCACTACGTGCAGGGACCGAATCGAAAGACGGCTTGATGTTTGTGGACAATCGATTGGTGATACCAAATGTGGACAATCTTCGCCGTCAATTGATCGAGCAAACCCATGAAGCACTAGGGCATCTTGGAACTCTCAAAACGGTACTTCAATTGCGGACAGAGTTTTTTTGGCCGGATCTAGCAAAAGATGTCAAGTACTTTGTTAACCACTGCGACAAATGTCAGCGAACAAAAGGCCGAACTTCCTTACCATCCGGACGAATGCAAGCGACAGAAGTGCCTCGGAGACCTATGGATGATATCTCATTGGACTTCATTGGTCCTTTCCCCAAAGCTCGAGGTTACGATATGATACTATCAATTACGTGTCGACTCACGGGCTTTGTGCGAGCGATTCCTACTTGTCAAACAGACACCGCGGAAAAAACGGCGCAACGAGTTTTTGCTGCA